ATGCATGGCATGGGCATGGCATGCAAACGCAGATAAATCCATGCATGCATGGCATGGTATGGCATGGGATGCACACGCAGTGATGCACACACAGTCATGGGAGGATGGATGTGAGGAGATGAAAGACATGGGACCTCTCCTGTCTTAGCATCTAGGTGACTTTTGAGTCGACTAAAAAATTATGAAAATGTGTCGTGTGCCATGGTAACGAGGTGACTTTTGAGTCGACTCAAAAGTCAGATGAAAGATAAGGGACCTCTCATGTCTTAGCATGTAAAAGTGCCTTATTTGAAAGGGACTTACTTGAAACAGGCCTTTGGCCAGCTGAGGGTTTTCCACCAGAATGGCTCGTGCTTGCGATCGGTTAGTTTGAATCAGCACCTGGGGGATAGGTTGAAGCGGGAAAGGAGAAAGCAGGAGGGAAAGGAGAAAGCGGAAGGAAAAGAACACATACAGGGAAACAATTCCTTACTAAAAGAACAGGACACAGAACTGAATACCGCGGAATATTTTCAGCATAAATAGCATACCTTCATCTGCGCCAGCAGGTCATAGAGTTGCTGCTTGGACATCCCTGCGAGCTGATTGGTCAACGGATCTGCTGACTCAGCATCCCCACCTCCTGGCGTCGCCATGCCTCCTGTCCCCGGCTTTCTCACCACCACTGGTGGCGGTGCCCCCAGCGCTTGTGCTACAAAGAAAGCTGCTTCTATCGCAGCGGGGAACCCAATGGGCTGAGTGAGTGACTCTAACGGGGGAGACGGATACGATTGTTGGGATAATGAGGGGTCTGGTTGAGGGGAGCGGCGCTGCTGCTGATGCTGGTAGGGGTACCGGCCGGGATGCTGCTGTTCCTGTTGCTGCTGCTGTTGTTGTTGTTGCTGTTGAGTGGACCCTGGAGCCCACACCACACATGCACAGGGACATGACGACGCAACAGGACAGTGAAAAGGAACCGGAAGTCAAGTCAGAAGAAAATTGCCGCAAAAAGGCAGCAAAACAGCCACAAATACCCAGCAACCAACAGGGACTAAGAATTTTACCGTATCCTTGAGATCCTGGTGCGGTAGTAGGTCCTCCTTTTCCCTGCCCATATCAACAGCCAGAAGCCCAAAAAAATTCCTCTCTTATCAGAAGAAGGCAGTCGGAACGACACTGAAAACAAGCCAGTCACAGGAAGTCAACCGCACTGACAGAACTTCTCGGCGTCTACTTGTCAAATTCTGAGTCAACGCAAAGATAGGAGTGAGGAATAACATTAGCCACAGTACCGTTTGCTGGCCGCTCTTGTCGCTCTCAGCAAAGTCAACTCTGAGCTGCCGGCCGTTGATGTCGTATCCGTTGAGGTTCCTCCGGGCACTCTGTGCTGTCTCCTCGTCCCTGTACTCGCAGAACCCGTACCCCTTGGGCTTGCCGCTCTCCCTATCTGTCACCAGCCTGGATGCAGCCAGGCAGGCAGGTAAGCGGGCGGGAAGCAGGCAGGAAGACAGGAAGCACAAGGAAAACGGGCAGGCAAGCGGGCAGACGAGCAGGAAAGCGGGTAGGCAAGCGGGCAGGCAAACTTTTGACTCGAAATCAGCTCGTTGGAGTTCTGGATTGCTGAGCTCTGTGCTGTCTCCTCGTCCCTGTACTCGCAGAACCCGTACCCCTTGGGCTTGCCACTCTCCCTATCCGTCACCAGCCTGGATGCAGCCAGGCAGGCAGTTAAGCGGGCAGACAAGCGGCCAAGCGAGCAGGCAGGCAAGCAGGCAGGCGAGCGGGCAGGCAAGCGAGCGGGCAAGCAGGAAGGGAAAACGGGAAGCAAGCGAGCGGGGAAGCAGGTAGGCGGGCAGGCAGGTAGAGAAGCGAGCAGGAACGTGGAGAGGAGGCACAGGGCGGGAGCAGGTGCCGAGGCGGGAGACACAACCGATGGCAGGATGGAAGCAGCATGACCAGATCTAATCAGTCCTGTTGGTGCGCTCATGCGCCAGATAACAGGCGAGCTAGGCACGGGGACAAAGATTGCTAGCTATCTTGCGTTTGTGTGTACTGGTCAGATAATCCTGCTGTTGTTTCCTTGTGATTATAAAGTCACTTGTTCACGATTGCTGGAGACATGGTACTCTTAAAATCCCGATAATTCATTACTCTACCCAGGTCGAAAATCGCTAGCACGTGAAGCTGGTCGACCCAGTCTGGTCAGAGCGTGTGAAAAGTTTCAAGCTGAAACTAAGGTCCATTTCCCTGCTGGAGTGCAGAAGGTCTTACTATTCCTTCTTTTTCAGCGGCCGGGACATTTCAAACCCTCTGTTCAGGTCGCCGGTTGTTGTGATTTTTGCTCTCTTCGTTTACACTGGAGCTTCTTTTCAGTGACGTCAACTCCATGGAAGAATACATACAATAATGATACAAACAGGGAACACTGGAGGAAAACGAAGCACCGAAACCATACGGACAAATAGCTTGCACGATCGCGATGATCGGACGGTCCTGCTTGCACATACCGAAAGGAAACCACGGGCCCGACCTCCTCACAGATCTGACGCAGCTGTTCCTCGGTAGTATCGTAAGGGATGTTGCCGACTGCGACACAAAAGAACAGGCTGAGAGTCACACGGCTCGCGAAGGATAGTGATAACGAAAAGAAGAGCGTAATTGTATTCTATGTATTACGCTTAAAGAAGAGCGTACTTACCAAAGACACACCTAGGCGAGCGCAACATGGATAGGCGAACGGCGAGAATTACGGGAACTAGAAACCCTACGTTGCAGAGCCGACCCTTATCTGTTGGGGCAATCCCTAGGTTGCGATTGTGAAGCTTTGCATAGCTTGAACTGCATTAGATGGGAACAGTCATACGAGATGTTTTTTGCCAGTTTGAGACGCACTCGCTACTTGATAAGATTGATACGTACGAGTTCTTCGGAAAAATATATACATGTGTGTGTTTGAATTGCCTAATTTTGTAGACAAATCAAAGCTGAGGTACATAAGCATTTTGTTTTGTAAAATTCAGTGTTACCATGATATTATCAAAGTAATAAATATAATTTACGGCATAGTTGGGCTTTTATCAGATTAACTGAGAACAAGGCTAAGTTATACCATTATTGACTATGCCATGAGTATTGTACATACAACAGAACATATTGAGTTACTAACCGCACAAAAACACTCTATGCCCTTACGAACCCACTCCGACTCCTCTCTTGTTGAACCGTTCACTGAAAATGCCCTCGAGTTCCACACCTTGATAATTTTTGTCCAAGTTCGATGAGCTCTAGGGTTCCCTTCCCCAACTGACGTCTGTAGACAGAACCTAGAAAATGTCATCGACTCGCAATATCACTCAACCGACAACTGATTCCACCAGGCGCCTGAACCGATAGTTTCATCGCGTTGCTCTACTTTTCAAGGCTCTCGCCGCTCGCTGCTTTCAATTTCGCCAGTCACGGCCTCGGCAAGCCTCGATCTCCTCTCGTATAATTGTCGAGCCCCTCACATTACGACCTGAAGTAGTGAGAGTCATCTTTGACAGCCCTTGCCTTGCACATTGTTGGTTTATAACGAGGACAAGTAAGCCCGTCGACATGGCTGTCGGCGTTAGAATGGTAGTGGTGATGCCGGGTGTGTGATGGAGCAGAAGCAGCACGCGTCGATCAAACAGCGACGGAAGGTTGATAAGAAAGACGTTAAAAAAGACGAGCGAGATACGAGCGCATCCAGCGAGAAAGCAGCAAGGGAAACTCGATCTTCCGCAAGCTCGTCGAACAACGGTCAGATTGGAGGCGATACCAGCGCTGACCGTGTAACCAAGACAGAGAACCAAGTAATTTTCTGTGTGTATCGGCGTGCGTGTTACTGGTATTTCTTTCGTGACGCCTGTGCGAGCATATATGCATACAATGATGCGTAATGCTTGTGTGTAATTGGTGCCATGCGCACTCGCAGTCTCTATCAGTCTCCCTCACATTTTTTCTCATCGGCTTCGCATTATCTCCCCCCTCGGCCCGTCACTCTCTCAACCGAACACCCACTCTCCTTCCACCTCTCGCTCCCCTTCCTCACTCCTCTCCCTCCTCTCTTCCCTTCTCTTTCTCACTCCCCTCCCCTTTCTCACGCAACTCCCTTCCCTCACCCCGACACCCCGGACAGGGTGTTACAGCTAGTCCTCTAACCAAACGAAAACTTACAACACTCGCCCACGCTCTACTTGTAGTCGCTCTTGCTCTCCTCCTGGGAAACTGGCAGCGGATTTCACAGGGTAGTTTCCTCCTCGAAAGTCTACCTTTCAAGGCCTTCAACTTCGGTGAAGCCCCTCTCCCGCCGCTCCACCATTCCGGCCCAGTATGCCGCACCTGTGACCGCGCCTCATGCTCCTTCGCCTACTTGCAAGGACTCACTGTGAGTCTGTGATGTTTGAGATTTGCTTGGATGCAGATTGTAATTGATTAGACATTATTCCTCTAGTCAGGCCTGGTATGCCGCACCTGTGACCGCGCCTCATGCTCCTTCGCCTACTTGCAAGGACTCACTGTGAGTTTTCACGTTTTTCTTCAGAAGTTGCTTCCACGCCAGCAAACCCTGGGGCCTGGTATGCTGCACCTATCTGTTTTCCTTCTTTCAACTGTCCTTGTTCCTTGGCGCAACTAACTGTTTCCAATATCCGCTCCCTCCCTCCTCACCTCCACCCACCTGCAGAATCTCCTGACCCTTGTGCCGCCTCTAAGCGGTGCTCACAGCAGCATGGCGGCCAAGTGGGCCAAGTTTCAAATGCCCTCTCTCAGTGACGCTGACGACCTCCCAGGTACGCGGCACACCACAGTGACGACAGCACAGCATGCCAGCTCTAAAGTCATTCCTCTAGCGGTGCTCACAGCATCATGGCGGCCAAGTGGGCCAAGTTTCAAATGCCCTCTCTCAGTGACGCTGACGACCTCCCAGGTATGCGGCACACCACAGTGACGACAGCACAGCATGCCAGCTCTAAATCATTCCTCTAGGCGGTGCTCACAGCATCATGGCGGCCAAATGGGCCGAGTTTCAAATACCCTCTCTCAGTGACGCTGACGACCTCCCAGGTACGCGGCACACCACAGTGACGACAGCACAGCATGCCAGCTTTAAAGTCATTCCTCAAGGCGGTGCTCACAGCATCATGGCGGCCAAATGGGCCAAGTTTCAAATCCCCTCTCTCAGTGACGCTGACGACCTCCCAGGTTCGCAGAGCGTAACTTTACAACAAGCCAAGACACCACCACCAGTGCTGATGCAGCCTGCCATTTTACACACTCCACCCCCTCCCTCGCTATCCCCCCCCTCTCCCGCACCCCTTTCTCCCATTTCTCAGGAACCCATGCCCCTACCTCCTCCCCTCTGACCGCTCCATCCTCTCCCTCCTTATGTGCAGATGGCGTGGTGATTCAGATTGTGGCTTCTGACTGGTCGGTGGTGGAAGCACCTGGGAATTCTTAACGTCTCTAAAATCGTCTTCTGACCCCCCTGGCCCCTCGGTCCTCTCCTCATCTGCAGATTGTGTGGTGATTCAGATTGTGGCTTCGGACTGGTCCGTGGTGGCAGCACCTGGGGGGGTTTTGAGCTGTCTCATTTATCGTCTTCTAAACCCCTCCGTCCTCTCCCCCCTAATGTGCAGATGGCGTGGTGATTCAGATTGTGGCGTCGGACTGGTCCGTGGTGGCAGCACCTGAGGGCGACTGGAGCCAATTAGTGAGTTAACTCAAGAACTCTTTTCCCTCCCTCCCCACCCAAACCCCTCCGTCTCGCTCTACATCTGCAGATGGCGTGGTGATTCAAATCGTGGCGTCGGACTGGTCCGTGGTGGCAGCACCTGAGGGCGACTGGAGTAAACCGTTGGGATTGGAGAAGGCGGGAGGGAAGGAGGGCAGCAGGGTGGGAGACGTGTTCACCGTTGTTGTTGTCAAGACTGCTGAACCCAACAGGTGAGGCTGTTTAACGGGGATATCTGAGCCTCCTTTACTCTCGGAAGGGCAGGAGGGCAGCAGGGTGGGAGACGTGTTCACTGTCGTTGTTGTGAAGACTGCCGAACCCAACAGGTGAGGCTGTTTAGTGGGAATTTTTGAGCCGCCTTGTTCTTTGGGAGGGCTGGATTGCAGCAGGGTGGGAGACGTGTTCACCGTTGTTGTCATCAAGTCTGCCAAACCCAATGAGTGAGGATGTTTTACAGGGATGTTTGAGCCGCCTTGAAGTTTGGGAGGGCAGGAGGGCAGCAGGTTGGGAGACGTGTTCACAGTTGTTGTCGTGAAGACCGCTGAATCCAACAGGTGAGGCTCAGATCAGAGGGCGTGGAGAATCTGCCAAGGGAGATTGAGGAGCGAGGTAGGAGACCGAGAGTGGAAGGTGGGAGGGCAGGCAGGGGGATTGCGCTGGAGGAGGCACTACAATCTGATCTGACTACATCATCCCTATGAGGCGCCTGCAGGGAGTTTTTGAGAATTCTCAATAACTCCCTGCAACGTCAAGGAGGAGGCACTACAATCTGACTACATCATCCCTATGAGGCGCCTCAAAGTGGGGAAGACAAGAAGACAAGGCTTTTCTCAGCGCTTCCCCAACCCCGCAACCTTCTCCCCACTAACCCCTATTCCCCCGTTCCACTCTGTCGCCCTGTGAGGGAAATAGCCTTGTCCCACTCCCTCTGGAGCATGCTCTGTTCTAGCAAGTTCTTTTGAGGCGCCTCAAAACTCGTCTGGAGCATGTCCTGTTCTAGCATGTTCTGTTTTAGCATGTTCTGTTCTAGCATGTTCTGTTTTAGCATGTTCTGTTCTAGCATGTTCTGTTTTAGCATGTTCTGTTTTAGCATGCTCTTCACAATTCTCACATGTCCGGCTTCTCTTCCGCTTCCAGCAAAGCACACCCAGTCTCTCGCATCTTTCCCCTACGCCCCTCTCCCTTCCACCCTTTCCAGAGAAGCATCATCTCGATTATCTTGATCCCTGAGGAACATGTTTGGATTCGCTTCCGCTTCCAACAAACCTCAATCAGTCTGCAGCAAAGCACACTCAGTTCCTCCCTTCTTTCGCTTCGCCTACGCCCCTCCCGTCCACCCTTTTCATTGAAGCAGCATCTCGGTCCCTCTGGAACATTTTTGGATTCTCAGCTGCTTATTTTCCCAATCCCTCCCTCCCTCCCCCCCCTTGCCCACCCCCACTCCAACTCCCTGTGCAGGGAAGCCGCATCTCGCTCCCTCTGGAACATGTTTGGCTTTTCAGCTGCTTCCAACAAAACCCAATCAGTCTGGGGGAGGAAGCAGGAGGGCGGCTCAGACGACGAGGAGGAAGGAGCAGAGGGAGCGGAGGGAGCGGAGGAAGCAGAGGTGGAGGAGATGGAGGTGCATGTGTCCCTGAGGGCTCCCAACGGCTGTGTGCTGTCGGCACATGATGACGGGTCGCTCCGGGCAGATACGCCGACAGATGCCGCCCTGCTGGACTGCCACGTGTTCCGCGTCACCAGGAATGTCCGCTCAGGGAAATTCGCCTTTTATGTGAGTCCTGTCCCTAGCAGCACGCCTCCTAGTAGCTTTGTATGTGAGACCCTGAGACCCTCGCCTACTATGTGCACTAGAGTTCTTCCCCACATGTATCCCTTCCGGACCTCCCTTCACCCCTTCCGCTGCAACGAGTGCCACCGACGAGCCCTGTAGTCCTCGCCTCGCATCTCATTGCACCCATGGTGCAGGGAGGTGCTGCAGAGACCTACTCACATCGTACCTCTCTCCCTCCCCACGCCCCCCCCCCTCTCTACCTCCCCTCCCCTCCCCACCCAGTCCATGAGTAATGAGCGCTACCTGAGAGCCCTGCAGCCATCACTCCTCTTCGCCTCCATGGTACAGGGAGATGCAGAGACCTTCTAACGTATTCACCTCTCTCTCTTCATAACTCTTCCTCCATCCCCCCTCCTGTCACCAATCCCTTCCCTCCCCTCCTCTCCCATCTCCCAACCCCAACCCAGTCCATGAGTAACGAACGAGCGCTACCTACGGGCCCTGCTGCAGCCATCGCTCCTATTCACGTCCATGGTGCAGGGAAACGCAGAGACCTTCTCACATCGTACCTATCACCCTCCCCCCCTCTCCCCCCACCTTCCCCTCCCCTTTCCCCACCCAGTCTATGAGCAATGAGCGCTACCTACGGGCGCTGCAGCCATCGCTCCTATTCACATCCATGGTGCAGGGAGAGGCAGAGACCTTCTCCATCCGCCGCCTGGACATGCTGCCCAAGTTCCTCGGAGTCAACCTGGGCGGCTGGCTTGTGGCAGAAGCCTGGATGTGCCCTCCTGCTCTCTTCGACGGGGTCTTTACTGTAAGTGAATGCGGCTTGTCTGGCCTAGGGTGCAGTGCGGTGCAGTTCAGTGTGGTGCAGTTCAGTGCGGTGCAGTTCGGTGTGGTGCAGAACGGTGCAGAGACCTTCTCTGTCTGCCGCCTGGATATGCTGCCCAAGTTCCTCGGAGAGTCAGCCTGGGCGGTTGGCTCGTGGCTGAAGCCTGGATGTGCCCTCCTGCTCTCTTCGACGGGGTCTTTACTGTAAGTGAATGCGGCTTGTCTGGCCTAGGGTGCAGAGCGGTGCAGTTCAGTGTGGTGCAGTTCAGTGCGGTGCAGTTCGGTGCGGCGCAGAATGGTGCAGAGACCTTCTCTGTCCGCCGCCTGGATATGCTGCCCAAGTTCCTCGGAGAGTCAACCTGGGCGGCTGGCTCGTGGCTGAAGCCTGGATGTGCTGTGCCCTCGTGCCTGCTCTCGTGAACAACCACCCCCCTCAACCACCACCAACCCCTTCTTCGACTCAACCCCTCTCAACCCCTCTCTACTCTTTCATATCCCCTCTTCCCCCTTCCCAATTCTTGCACCTGCTGCAGGACCTATTGGACGGCACGTCCATCCAGCTACAGTCCGTGGACAACAAGTGGGTGGCAGCGGAGGGAGGGGGCGGCGACCAGCTCAGGGCCAATAGGGACGCTGCTAGCGCATGGGAGACGTTTTTTCTTCGCCGGGCAGACCACGGCGCGTTTTTCATCCGGGCGGGCAGTGGGCACTTTTGGAGCGTGGATGCTGCAAGTGGCGAGGTGTTTGCCAACAAGTGAGACATGAAATCATGATTCTGAGAAACATTCGAAGCAAAATGAATCTCTTTTCCCTCAGCCACCCGCCCCACCTTCTCGCCCCCCTCTCTCTTCATTGCTACCCATCTAGTTCTCTCAAGAGGTCTCGTAGCTCTGCTTCTGTCGCAAGCGTTATGAGGTCTCTCATTTGGCTCAAATTTCTGATCCTTGATAGGGTCCATTAAAGTCTCAGACGTAACATCAAATGTCTCAAACGGCTCCTTAACTTTGCACGCCCTTCTCTATTTCCCTCCGCGCTTCCTTTCGCATCTTTCCCCGTCCTTTCTTTCTCTCTTTTGCTCTTCGTTTCTATCAGGGAGGACGAGGAGGAGGGCGAGATGTTCTGGGTGCGGCACAAGCTAGGAGAGGAGGGTACGGTGCAGCTGAGAGCGGCCAATGGCAACTGGGTGCAAGCGCTGGACGACGGCAGGCTTATAGCGGATATCGAGTGAGTCCATAGACGGGGGTGTAGTGAGTATTGAATGATTCATTGAGGCTTGTAGCATACATCGAATGATTCCATAGAGGGGCAAACAGCAGACCTTGTGTGATTTTATCGAGGAGCTTATAGCGGATCCCCAGGGGCTTCTAATGAGGACACCCCCAGGTGGGACACCACGTGCACATTCACTCTCAGCAAGCTCCGCAGACCTGAGGAAGGGGAGAGGCTGAACTCTTGTTTCCCTCCTATCCCCCCCTCCCTTCCACTCCCCTTTCCAGCGAGGACGTCCCTAGATGGGACACCACGTGCACGTTCACTCTATTCATCCCTGCCATCCTCTCCCCATCCCCAAACCCCAACCCCCTTTCTTTCAGTGAAGATGCCCTTAGATGGGACACCACGTGCACATTCACCCTGAGCAAGCTTGCAGACATGGGAGGGGAGGTGCAGCTGATGCTGGCGCTCGGTTGAGAGGAGGCAAAGAGCCTCCCATTCACTCCACTCTCCCCGCCCTCTTACTCGTCTCCTTTGCCCCCTTTCCTCCCGTCCAGTGAGGATGCCCCCAGATGGGACACCACGTGCACATTCACTCTCAGCAAGCTAGCAGACATGGGGGGAGAGGCACAGCTGATGCTGGCTCTTGGGCGGGAGGAGGCGGAGAGGAGGCTGCAGCAGCACCGGGAGGAGTGGGTGGGGGAAGGTGACTTTGAGTGGCTGGCGCGGCAAGGGGTGAACGCAGTGCGGATACCCGTGGGGTGGTGGGTCGCTGTCGACCCCACACCGGAAGAGTTTGTTGACGGAGCACTTGAGCTGCTGGATAAGGTGCGTGGGTATGGTGTGTGGTTCAGGCATTCACGTGTGTGGCTGTGTGGTAAGTGAGTGGCTGGCGCAGCAAGGGGTGAACGCCGTGAGGATACCTGTCGGGTGGTGGGTTGCTGTGGACCCCACACCGGATGAATTCGTTGAAGAGGCACTTGAGCTGCTGGATAAGGTGTGTGGGTGGGTGTGGTGAGGAGTGGGTGGGGGCAAGGGGTGAACGCTGTGCGGATACATCATACCCGTGGGGTGGTGGGTTGCTGTTGACCCCACACCAGAAGAATTCGTTGAGGGAGCTTTAGATCTGCTGGATAAGGTGGGTGTGGTTCAGGCGTACACGTGTGTGGCTGTGGGGTAAGTGAGGAGTGGCTGTCACGGCAAGGTGTGAACGCAGTGCGGATACCCGTGGGGTGGTGGGTTGCTGTTGACCCCACACCGGAAGAATTCGTGGCAGGAGCACTTGAGCTGCTGGATAAGGTGCGTGAGCTGCTGAACTGAAGAAGGGATGAACGCTGTGCGGATACCCGTGGGCTGGTGGGTTTCTGTGGACCCCACTCCAGAAGAATTCGTGGCAGGGGCTTTAGAGCTGTTGGATAAGGTGCATGGGTGTGGTGTGCGGTTCAGGCATACACGTGTGTGGCTGTGGGGTAAGTGAGGAGCGGGTGGGTGTGGTGCATGTATACATATGCATATGGAGTTCTGCAAGCGGCTATGCAGCAACTGGATAGGCGGGCTGGATAGTGGCTCTGGGGATGTGAAAGTACGAGGTAAAGGGGGTTCCTTCCGGCTTTAGTGTGTGCAGCATCCGCGTTATTGTGTGTCTTCATGCATGTAGGATCCACCCTGAAAATGATATCCACCTTTTTTCCTCACTTGCCTGCAGGCACTGGACTGGGCGCACACAAACAGCATCCGTGTTATAGTGTGTCTGCATGTGTGTACTTTGAGCCAATATTCTTCTCTCACACAATTGTTTTCTCCCCTGCAGGCACTGGACTGGGCGCACACAAACAGCATCCGCGTTATAGTGTGTCTGCACGCGGCCCCCGGGTCTCAAAACGGGTGGGAGCACAGTGCGAGTCGAGACGGCATTCCCATGTGGGGCAAGCCCGGCACGCCCTACATGGATGAGACGGTTGACGCCGTCCGCTTTCTCGTGCAACGGTAAGTTCAAGTCAATCCAAAGGCCGCCCGGTAAGGGGTGCCCTACATGAATGAGACAGTTGACGTCGTCCGCTTCCTTGTGCAACAGTGACTTTTGAGTTGGTTGAATGCCGCCCAGAATGCGATCTCCTGTATGTATGTATGTATGTATGTATGTATGTATGTATGTATGTATGTATGTATGTATGTATGTATGTATGTATGTATGTATGTATGTATGTATGTATGTATGTATGTATGTATGTATGTATGTATGTATGTATGTATGTATGTATGTATGTATGTATGTATGTATGTATGTATGTATGTATGTATGTATGTATGTATGTATGTATGTATGTATGTATGTATGTATGTATGTATGTATGTATGTATGTATGAGACAGACGGCGCCGCCGCGCCGCCTGCTTGCTCGAGCAGCTGTGAGAAACGGCAGTGATGGTGTAGGGGGGGGTGGAGAGCCGAGTTTTGAGGCACTTCAAAAGTCCTATAGGCAGTCAACAACCCGAGGGCCGATGCAGTGTCTTATCTGCACACTAACCCCCCTCCCCTTTCTCTCTCCACCGTCTTCCTCTCTCACCCACACCAGGTATGCCTCGCACCCAGCCTTTGCAGGGCTAGAGCCAATCAACGAGCCGAGGGCCGATGCAGTCTCGTTTGACGACCTCGCACGCTACTATGAGCGGTGCTATGCGGTGCTGAGGGAACACTCGCCCTCCGCCTACTTTGTCATTTCTGGGAGAATTTTTGCCAACGAGAGGGAGTGGGACGACTTTATGACGAGTAAGTGTGTGTTTTTGTGTGTGTGTGTGTGTGTGTGCGTGCGTGCACGGCACGCACTGTCATATGTGCGCGCACAAAAGTGTGATGTGTTGTGTAGTGGAAGGGGATGGAAACAGTGAACGCTGCAATGTGCGCTATTGTGAATATTACAGCTTACAAGTTTGAAGGACGACTTTTCACCCATGTTTTGCATTTATGCAGGTGTGCATGCAGTGCAGGAATGTCTAAGTGTTCTTGAGTGTGCGTGCGTGTGTATGTGTGTGCCTGTGAGCCCCATGCATCCATCTGTACAGGTGCGCAGTGCACGAATGTGATCTACGACGCACACTGGTACCAAGTGCACGACCACGCGGAGTTTGGATCCCATTCGGTGGACTTCAATCTGTGTGTATATGTGTTCTTGTGTGCTCTTGTGTGTGCTTTTGTGAATGTTGTGGTTACGCAGGTGCGCAGTACACGAATGTGATCTACGATGCGCACTGGTATCAGGTGCACGACCACGCCGAGTTTGGATCCCAGTCGGTGGACTTCAATCTGCAGTACCCCTCGAAGCAGCGTGCTGCTGCGCTCAGCCTGCTGGAAAGAGGACAGCGGCTCGTGTTTGTGGGTGAGTGATTGAGTGAGTGAGTGAGTGATGGGAGTGAGTCAAACGAGAGAAGCAGTTGGCTCGGCAAGGTAATCAAGGTAGACTGATCAGCCGGGCATGCATGCTCATGGGTGCACGACCATGCGGAGTTTGGATCCCAGTCGGTGGACTTCAATCTGCAGTACCCCTCCAAGCAGCGCGGCGCTGCTCTCAACCTGCTGGAACGAGGGCAAGTACTCGTGTTCGTGGGTGAGTGATGGCAGTCACAATGACTAAAAGAACTCATTATTGTGCCCATGGCCATGCCCTGCCACCCCAAACCACACCACACACCACAGGAGAGTGGTCTCTGGCTCTGCTATGCGACACAAGCGACGACATCAACACTCGTTTCGCCAAAGCACAGCTACAGGCATACCTCGCGTCATCTTCCGGTTCGTTCTTCTGGTCGCTGAAACACGGGCAGGGGTGGGACCCCTGGAGCTTCAAGGCTAGTGTGGAGCGCCGGTGGATGACCTCTGCTCTCTGGCCCTGGTCCCGCTCCCCGCTGCTTGCATCCTCTCCTGGGGCTGCGGCTTCTCCAAAGAGACGTTCGAATTTGCAAAATGGAGGAAAAAGTGGGAGCCATGACCATGATGAGTTGTGACCTTTATGGCCGTGTGCATTTGCTGCTGTAGAACTGATGTTTGATTTAGTGATGTCATTGCAACCACTTACCTACCACGTGCTTTTGCTATAAACCTTGTATTGTACAATATAACTCACGTAGATTTCCCACATAACGAGTTGTGTTACGCATTTCGTTCAGTGGAAGTGTAGGACCAAGTGAAGGTGCTTTTACAATTGTCGTGTTCAGAGGCATCTTGGGGAAATGGATAACGTAACAAATCATGATTCTTAGCTGAGCATCCAGTAAAGAATATCCTCGCCAGGAATCACCAGCCTGATGAGCAGGAAAGGAATCTTCTGGTTCGCTTTGCTGGGCGCGCATCGAACCACGGAACCCCAACTCCTGCCCACCCAGCGAATCAGAACCTTTCCAGACTGCGGCCCAACATGAACACATCTCCGGTCAGCACCCGTATTGGTCAGGCGTTCAGCGAGGAGATCCGGTTTTGCCGCCAGACCGATGAGATGCCACTGGTCATCGCCACCGTGGCACTTTCGGATGTTTGGCTCCAATCAGGCGTTCCCAACTCATTTCGCGTCAGCCTCAGAAACCCATGCTGACATGTACTGTGGTCACCATTTCCAGATGCCCCCCTTTCGCCTAGGTGCACTCAGGCTGCAACATCCCCATTTGCTGAAGGTTCATGCAGTGCGGTTCAATACGCTAAATCACGGTCAAGCGGCGTTTATGTTTCACCGCTTTATAAATACCTTTCGCCGTCTGTAACCGTATCGTTTCCCGCCTGGCGTGATGGATCAGCTGCAAGCTAGACCTAGAAAGTTGGTTAGAGTAAGAAGCAAGCTAGGTGTACCCACTTCACTTGTGCTTAGCTAGTTGCTGTTAGTAGAAAGCCAGAGGAATACAAGCCAGGCCAGGAATCACTTGCGTATTTCATTTCGCAGTTTCCCGCTTGGCCAGTTTCATAATATTGTAATCTTCTCATTCCGCATGCCACGCTAGGTAAATCGAGATCGTTTGCGTCGTTTCGAATCCAGTTGAGACGAACTTTTTGAGTCTGGGTGAGCTTCAACCACAGCGGTTTCCGTTTCGACCATTCGCATTTCCTGATTTCCTAACGGAATGGCTCTCGAGGCGTCCGTCTCTCAGAGTCTACTCTCAGTCCCGACAACGATCGGTAGTCTGGATCGTGATCATTCGCGATGTGTCCGTGATTCTCAGAAGAATTTGCCAGGTTCTCTATTCTTAGGTCTCAAGTTACCTCGAGACATTTCAAGGGGAGAACTGGTTTGCGTTTCCAGCTCCAAAAGAATCAATAGAAGAGGTGGTTCCAGTAATGGCCGTAGGTTCATTCTTAAAGCAGCAGCTGAGCCTGGTTCCTTTTCTAGCCGGAATGTTAGCAGTTTGTTGAAGCGTTCTCAGCCTCCTCGGGATGTTAGCGCATCTGTTGGAGTCGCTCCTCGAAGCATCTCTGTTTCCCCCAACGTTTTGTTAGTTTCCGAGGTGCTTCAACAGGAGAAACCGCAACAGCAACTGCAGCAGCAGAAACAGCAACAACAACAGCAACAGCAGCGGCAGCAGCAGCAGCAGCAGCAGCAGCAGCAGCAGCAGCAGAAGGGGCTGGAGCAACGGCTTTCACATGACCCGGCGAAAGTCACCAAGCCAGCCGTTTCAGCCGCTCAACGCCTCGCGGAGAACGCCAATCGGCTCCACAATCTTCTCCTGCAGCTCTCCACAGCTCAGACATTCGACGAGAAAGACGCAATCCTGAGCGCGGACCCGCGGGTGCGCGCAGTCTTCCCCCAGCAAGGCTCCTCCCTCGGGAAATTCGTCAAGCCTGCTGTTTCGATGGCCATGGATTGTTGCAGTCAGGAGGAAATTTACCTGCTCAAGTGCCTGGTGGCGTCCGGGCAAGAGCATTTGTTGGACACTCCGGTTGCCTGGGCTGAAGGGATGGACTCTATCTGGGAAAAGGCGCATTGCCAGAGCAGCGCCAAGGCAGAGTCAGGAGGAGTTGGCGGAGGAGGAGGAGGAGGAGGAGGAGGAGGAGGAGGAGGAGGAGGAGGAGGAGGAGGAGGAGGAGGAGTGAAGGAAGCCTTTTCTATGCTCGCTTCCATGATCGACGGCTGGGACACGCACCCAGACGCCCCCCGGTCCGCGCTTCCCGCATTCCTCGCCGGGTTCGACAACCCCGGCGTGTTTCCCGCTCCGCTTATGGACCTCATTGACTGGGAAGACCGCCGATCGGCGCACGGCCCTTCAGCTGCTACTAGTGAATGTGCGGCGAGCTCTGGAGGGAAAGGAGATGGGCAGCCGTTTTCGTCTCGGTCGTCGACGCTGCTCGCGCAGCTGAAGGAAGGGCTGGAGTATCCGAGCGTGTTCGGCGCTCCGCTGTTGGACCTGGTTGACTGGGAACGGCTGTGGCAGTCAGAAGGTGGACCAAGCTCCCCTAGCAGCAGTAGCAGCAGTAACAGCACCAGTAGCAGCAGCAGCCGTGGTAGCGGCGGTGACAGTGACAGCAGCTGTGGGTTTGCGAGCGACGGTGGTAGCAGCAGCAGCGGGTGGGAGGATAATGGTGGCTCTTTGAGGGACCATGAGCCACGCGCGCAGCTGCAGGCACTTCTGGCGATGCTGCGGCGAGTGGAGAAGTTCTACGACGGCATTGGCGGCATTCTTGGGTAAGCTATTCTGAACTGATTTTGTAGTCGGCTCATAAACGGCGTTGGCGGCGGGATTATCGGGTACGTTATTTGAGTTAATTACTCAAAGCAATGCTGATTGCCGATGTTGCAGCAGCATTGGTGGAACCGTCGGGTACGTGATTCTGAACCCTAATTTCTCCCTAGTTGTTTTAACAGAGAGTTGGGAACTCTGGCTTTTCAATGTGGCGGAATAAAAAAGTGTAAAGATCTGAGCTGAGCTGACTTTTCAGGCGCCTCAAAACTAGAAGAGCTTGTGTTTGCTGTTGTTTATTGCGCGCAGGTATCAGTCGACGTGCCTGGATCTCATTCAGCAGTCCGTTGCTGCATCGCAGCAAGCAGCCGCTGCTGCAGCAGCAGCAGCAGCAGCAACAGCAACTCTAGCAACGTCCCTGGCAGCAGAGAACATGATTGCCAATGAAACAGAAAACGAAGGACGCGGTTTCGAATCCCAGCGACGGATTTTTATGCCCCCTGGCCAAGACCTGGCAAGTGATCCGGAGTTTGCCTCTCAGGCAGCGTTTTGGGGCCTTGAGGTGAGTTTGCGGGCATTTCCTTTCCCATCTCTTGCGACTGAGAGGAAATGCATGCTTTCTGAAGCAAAATGTGTTTTCGTCGTCACTGCAGTTTGAGGTGACTTTTGAGTCGACTCAAAAGTCACCTCGTTCTGCGGCCATTTCCTTTCCCGTCTTTTGCGACTGAGAGGAAATGCATGCCTTTTTTAAGAAAATATGCTTTCTTGTCACCGCAGTTTTCACTTCCCTACAGATGACGTACTTCAAATCCCCTCTCCTCCCAATTCCATCTTCTTATCACACCAGGGGCTGCCTGCAATGGCGGAAATATACCCCTTGGGAGGCGCGGGGGACAGGCTAGGACTGGTGGACGAGGCAACAGGGGAGAGCCTGCCTGTGGCAATGCTGCCGTACTGTGGCCGCACGCTCCTGCATGGGCTTCTGAGAGACCTGGAGGTGAGCAGCTGAGTTCTGAGACGCCAGGCACGATGCTGCTCTGCTGCAGCCTCTTGCTGCTGCACGGGCGAATTTAGAAGCATAACAGCAATCCACTGCGTTGTTATGGTACTATGTTATGCCCACATCCCTGCTTGTTTGTGTATTTGGAGAGCAGAGCAGCACGTGCCCCCCAGGCCATCATGACCAGTGCGGCCAAGAAAAACCACCAGAGGCATAAAAAGCTACATTAGAAACCAATGCAGTGCACTGAATGAATTTCCTACCTTTTGTCCCCACCTTCCCCTCCCCTCCCCTCACCCGCCTTTGGCCCTGCAATGCAGGCGCGAGAGTATCTGCATTTTCGTGTGTTCGGCCAGCACCACGTGACGCCAGTGGCCATCATGACCAGTGCGGCCAAGAAGAATCACCAGAGGGTGCTGGCTCTGCTGCAGCAGCACAACTGGTTCGGGCGGGGCGAGCACAACTTCCGCCTCTTCCAACAGGTGCGCTTCTTGTTTCCAGATGCTTTGATATGGGCTTTCTTTTGACACGTGACGAAGTCAGTCCACCAGAGGGTGCTGTCTCTTCTGCAGCAGCACAACTGGTTTGGCCAGGGCGAGCACAACTTCCAGCTCTTCCAACAGGTGTGGTTTCAAGTTCGATTCGTTTTGATTCAAGTATGGTCTCAATACAGGTTGTTCCTGTCGCCAGCTTCCACCCCCAACCCCTCCAACCCCCTTCAATCCCTCCCAACCCCTCACTCCATCCTTGCTCTTGCAGCCGCTGGTGCCAACAGTGGCGGCGGAGGATGGCAGGTGGCTGGCCAGCGGCCATCTCTCGCCCGTGCTCAAGCCAGGCGGCCACGGAGTCATCTGGAAACTCGCAGCCGACGAGGGCGTGTTTGAGGCGCCTCAATAGCCCTCACCAATCCCTCCCAACACCTTCGAACCCCTCAATTCTCACTTTGAACCCTTTCCCACCGCTTTAAACCCCTTCGTTCTGCTTCTGCAGCCGCTGGTCCCAACAGTAGCAGCGGAGGATGGCAGGTGGCTGGCGAGCGGCCATCTCTCGCCCGTGCTCAAGCCAGGCGGCCACGGGGTCATCTGGAAGCTAGCAGCGGACGAGGGCGTGTTTGAGTGGCTGCGCTCCAAGGGTCGCAAGGCCGCAGTGATCAGGCAAATCAGGTAAGCATGTGAACCGTAGCAAGTGATCTGGCAAATCAGGTAAGCATGTGAACCGTAGCAAGTGATCTGGCAGCTACAGCAGCAGCAACTTACGTGATAAAAGTGTAATTTTGAGACGTCTCAAAAAAACTTACATGACTCGCCTGGAACTTTCTGGCATTCCCGACATTTTCCTGATCGTGTGCCCTCCCTCCTCCCTCCTCCCTCCTCCCTCCTCCCTCCTCCCTCCTCCCTCCTCCCTCCTCCCTCCTCCCTCCTCCCGCCGTCATGTTCCTCTCCCTTTCTGTCATCTGCAGCAACCCATTGGCAGCAACAGACATGACTCTCCTCGCGCTCTCTGGCGTTGGCCTGCACGGCAACAAGGTGAGAAGAGGGAAAGGTAGTTTTGAGACGTCTCAAAAGTCGGCGTTGGTCTGCACGGCAACAAGGTGAGAACAGGGGAACGTATATGGTCTTGCGCCTGGCATGAGACTTGCGGTTCATATCTATTTCCCGTTCTTCTTTTTCTCATGATCGGGAGGGGCGCCATCTTGGCCGGCTGGCTGTAATGTGTGAGTGCACACAGAGTATGGCGCTCTTGGGAGCAGGCAGCAGCAGCTGCAGTGGCAGCAGCAGTGGCAGCAGCAGTGGCAGCAGTGGCAGCAGCAGTGGCAGCAGTGGCAGGCAATCTTTATTTTGCCTCCGTACCCTCTCCCTCCTCCTTCCCCTTCCCCATTCCATGCAGAAATTCGGCTTTGCGTCGTGTGATCGCAACGTGGGCACATCAGAGGGTGTAAACGTGCTGGCAGAGCAGCAGCAAGCGGACGGGTCGTGGGCGTACGGGCTGACATGCATCGAGTATACCGACTTTGAGAAACTCGGCATCAGCGACGCGCCCGTGGCTCCTGGCAGCAGCCGGTCGCATTACCCTGCCTGCTCCTCACCACGTTATTCCCCCTTCCCCCCTCCCGCCTTCCCTACACCACGCAGAAATTCGGGTTTGCGTCTTGTGACAGGAATGTGGGCACAGCAGAGGGTGTGAACGTGCTGGCAGAGCAGCAGCGGGCGGACGGGTCATGGGCGTACGGGCTGACATGCATCGAGTATACCGAGTTTGAGAAACTCGGCATCAGCGACGCGCCTGTGGCTCCTGGTAGCAGCCGGTCGCATTACCCTGCCTGCTCCTCACCACGTTATTCCCCCTTCCCCCCTCCCGCCTTCCCTACACCACGCAGAAATTCGGGTTTGCGTCTTGTGACAGGAATGTGGGAACAGCGGAGGGTGTGAACGTGCTGGCAGAGCAGCAGCAGGCGGACGGGTCGTGGGCGTACGGGCTGACATGCATTGAGTATACCGAGTTTGAGAAACTCGGCATCAGCGACGCGCCTGTGGCTCCTGGCAGCAGCCGGTCAAAATACCCTGCCAACACCAACGTTCTCTTTGCTGACCTGCACGCTGTTGAGATGGCTGTGTTAGGCAAGACTGGTGAGGCTGGTGCAGGGGAGGAGCGGCACCGTCAGCAGCGGCAAGAGCAGCAGCAGCCGTGCTGTGGACCAGCTTTGAACAGCAGCAGCAGCAGCAGCAGCAGCAATGGAAGCAGCAGCGCGAATTTCCCTGGGGACCGGTCAGGCGGTGGGATCTGTGCGGGCTTGTGTGGCCCAGACAGTGCCGTTCATACAGACACTGTGAATATCGGGTCGTTCAGTGGGGTTTACGCCAACAGGAGTGCATTCTCTGGCAGCAGGAGTGGCAGCAACAGGAGGAGCTCAAGCCCCAACAGCAGCAGCAGCAGCAGCAGCAGCAGCAGTCCACCATCGCTACCTGGAATGATCATGAACCTGAAGAAGTCGATCTCGTTTGAAGACTGCTATGGCCGCCCTCAAAGGTGTGTGTCAATCTCCGTCGCGGGCAGGAATTATTGTGTGTCGTCTGTTGTGTTGGTCCGTCCATTCATTCCATTGAATGGGGTTTCTTTCTTTCTTTCTTTCTTTCTTTCTTTCTTTCCCATTTATGACGAGCGTTTCAGTCGTGTGGTTTCTTTCTTTTCCTGTCTCTCGCCATCCTGTCTTCACACCATCCGAGGAGGCCGATTGGAATGCACGATGCAGAACATCGCTGATCTCCTCATCACCTCTCACTCATACCGCCTGCCTCTGGTTTGGACTACCGACCGCGTCACTCATTCCTGACCTCTCTCTTTCCCTTCACTTCACTCTCTGGCTTTGCAGCATTCGAGGAGGCCGATTGGAGTGCACAATGCAAAACATCGCGGATCTCCTCGTCACCTCCCTCCCGTACCGCCTGCCTCTGTTTTGGACTACCGACCGCACCATCCGAGGAGGCCGGCAGGAATGCACGATGCAGAACATCGCGGATCTCCTCGTTACCTCTCACTCATCCCCCTGGATTTTTTTCCATCCCGTTCCCTCCCTGCCCTTGCTGTGCAGCATCCGAGGAGGCCGATTGGATCTGCTTTTGAGTCGACTCAAAACCACCCCCGGGTCTTCTTTCCTTCCCGTTCCCTCCCTGCCCTGGTTGTGCAGCATCCGAGGAGGCCGATTGGATCTGCTTTTGAGTCGACTCAAAACCACCCCCCCGGTCTTCTTTCCATCCCATTCCCTCCCTGCCCTGGTTGTGCAGCATCCGAGGAGGCCGATTGGATCTGCTTTTGAGTCGACTCAAAACCACCCCCCCGGTCTTCTTTCCTTCCCGTTCCCTCCCTGCCCTTGCTGTGCAGCATCCAAGGAGGCCGATTGGAGTGCACGATGCAGAACATCGCTGATCTCCTCGTCACCTCCCTCCCATACCGCCTACCTCTCGACATGGATACTGCCACCGCTGCTACTGCTGCTTCCTCAATTTCTCCAACCCACAGTGGTGAAGCCACTGCTCAGGAGGGCAGGGAGGGGCGGGGTGGAGCACAGGTGCAGGGCGAACGGAGTGCAGCTGCAGTGGACAGTGGGACAGAGGGGAATGCGGCAGAGCACAGCAAGCATCAGCTACAGGCGGTGCTGGACACGTTTCTGGTGTTCAACGACCGCTGCAAAGTCACCTCCTCCGCCAAGCGCCGGCGCAAGCCCACAGACACGTCCCTGCATCAGGTATGGCTGGAGTAGAGGCAGTGGGACAGGTAGGGGAGAGCAGGAGACAGGTGCAGGCGGCAGTGGACAGTGGGAGAGAGGACAGGAAGAGACAGGTGCAAGCGGTGCTGGACACGTTTCTGGTGTTCAACGACCACCGCAAAGTCCCCTCCCCCGCCAAGCGCCGGCGAAAGCCAACGGACACGTCTCTGCACCAGGTACGGTGGAGTTCAGGCAGTGGGGCAGAGGGCAGTTGGGTAGAGGGAGGTTCCTTGTTGGACCTGAACTGCAAGCAACTCACTTCCCTACTGCCTCCTTGCTTACCCCACTGACGCGTTTTTTTTTTTTTTCCATCCAGAATCGTCCCACGTGCTTCAGACGGCCCGTTCTTGGATCTCAACCACAACTCGCTGGAACTCTTCTCCTCCACTTCGCACACTCGTCCCACTCGCTCATCCCACACTCATCCCACTTGCTCATCCCACACTCATCCCCTCCCTCCTCCCTTCTCTCGCTTTCCCTACCCACCACACTCCTGCAGACTCCAGACGGCTCCTTCTTGGACCTCAACCGCAACTCGCTGGAGCTCTTCTCCTGCACTTCCCTCACCTACCTTAAACGTGTACCCTTGCCCATTCCTCCCCCTTTCCCTTCCGTCCCCAACTTGCAGACTCCAGATGGCCCCTTCTTGGATCTCAACCACAACTCGCTGGAACTCTTCTCCTCCGCTTCGCACACTCGTCCCACTTGCTCATCCCACACTCATCCCCTCCCTCCTCCCTTCTCTCGCTTTCCCTACCCACCACACTCCTGCAGAATCCAGACGGCTCCTTCTTGGACCTCAACCGCAACTGGCTGGAGCTCTTCTCCTGCACTTCGCACACTCGTCCCACTTTTGAGGCGCCTCAAAAGTCGTCTCTCTACCCGCAGATGGCCCCTTCTTGGATCTCAACCACAACTCTCTGGAGCTCTTCTCCTGCACTTCCCTCACCTGCTTTGCATCCTTGCTCATCCCCTCCTCCCTCCCCTTTCCTTTCCCTCCTGTCCCGAACGCCCCTGCAGACTCCAGATGGCTCCTTCCTTGACCTCAACCGCAACTCGCTGGAGCTCTTCTCGTCCTGTGGTGTTGCCATGCCGCATGTGAGTGCCTGTAGTGCCTGTAGTGCCTGCTGTGCCTGTAATGTCCACGTTCTCCACTCTCTGCCACTCTCTGCCACTCTCTGCCACTCTCTGCCACTCTCTGCCACTCTCTCCACTCTCTCCACTCTCTCCACTCTCTCCACTCTCTCCACTATCTCCTCTGCCCCCATCAGATGCACAGCGATCACAAGCGCTACGTGGACTCATCTCCACCGTTCATCTTCCTCTTTCACCCCGCCCTCGGCCCGCTCTGGAGCGTCATTCGGCAAAAGGTATGTCTGCTCTCTGCCCATAGCGTTTCTAAGGCTTTTCAAAAGAGTTTTGAGTCAACTCAAAACCCGCCCTCAGCCCGCTCTGGAGCGTCATCCGGCAAAAGGTACGTCTGCCCACTGCCCGTAGCGTTCTTACGCTTCACAAAAGAGTTTTGGGTCGACTCAAAACTCGCCCTCGGCCCGCTCCAGCCAGAGTGTCATCCGGCAAAAGGTACAGCATCACACAAATGCCACATCTGCCTGTGGTCAAGTACTTCAGTTCAGAAAGCTGTTTTTTTCTTTTAACGCTTTTCAGCTGCCTCAGGCCTTCGCTCTCAGGTGTCCTCCCGCAGAAGTTACACCCTCTGTACATCAAAAGTCGCTTAACTGTTTTTTGGGGAGGTTTGTTTTCCTTCCTGCTCATCCCTGTAGTACTTACCTCTTTTCTTGTCTGTGTTCTTGTGCTTGTGTGTAAACCGCAGGTACAGGGAGGCTCTGTGGCGCCACAGTCTGAAGTGAAGCTGGAGATAGCTGAGCTTGCGTGGTCTGACGTACATGTGAGTCATGCAAGTCAACCAGGTGTAGTGGGGTCAAACAGGGTCAATGCGAGTCAACAGAATTGCGGTGGCGCCACACTCTGAAGTGATGCTGGAGATAGCTGAGCTTGCGTGGTCCGACGTACATGTGAGTCATGCAAGTCAACCAGGTGTAGTGGGGTCAAACAGGGTCAATGCGAGTCAACAGAATTGCTGTGGCGCCACACTCTGAAGTGAAGCTGGAGATAGCTGAGCTTGCGTGGTCTGACATACATGTGAGTCATGCAAGTCAACCAGGTGTAGTGGGGTCAAACAGGGTCAATGCGAGTCAACAGAATTGCTGTGGCGCCACACTCTGAAGTGAAGCTGGAGATAGCTGAGCTTGCGTGGTCTGACATACATGTGAGTCATGCAAGTCAACCAGGTGTAGTGGGGTCAAACAGGGTCAATGCGAGTCAACAGAATTGCTGTGGCGCCACACTCTGAAGTGATGCTGGAGATAGCTGAGCTTGCGTGGTCTGACATACATGTGAGTCATGCAAGTCAACCAGGTGTAGTGGGGTCAAACAGGGTCAATGCGAGTCAACAGAATTGCTGTGGCGCCACACTCTGAAGTGAAGCTGGAGATAGCTGAGCTTGCGTGGTCCGACGTACATGTGAGTCATGCAAGTCAACCAGGTGTAGTGGGGTCAAACAGGGTCAATGCGAGTCAACAGAATTGCTGTGGCGCCACACTCTGAAGTGAAGCTGGAGATAGCTGAGCTTGCGTGGTCTGACATACATGTGAGTCATGCAAGTCAACCAGGTGTAGTGGGGTCAAACAGGGTCAATGCGAGTCAACAGAATTGCTGTGGCGCCACACTCTGAAGTGAAGCTGGAGATAGCTGAGCTTGCGTGGTCCGACGTACATGTGAGTCATGCAAGTCAACCAGGTGTAGTGGGGTCAAACAGGGTCAATGCGAGTCAACAGAATTGCTGTGGCGCCACACTCTGAAGTGAAGCTGGAGATAGCTGAGCTTGCGTGGTCTGACGTACATGTGAGTCATGCAAGTCAACCAGGTGTAGTGAGGTCAAACAGGGTCAGTAAGAGTCAACCAACGCAAGTCAGCCAGGTTCAATACAAGTCATTCAGGTCAATGGGAATCAAACGGGGTCAATGTGAATTAAACTAAGTTAATCTGGGAGTCTGTTAATGCAGGTATCTGGACCCTCACCCACCAGTGCCCCCACTCACCATTTGCCCCACCTGCCCATCTACCCTAATGTAGGTATCTGGGAGCTTGTTGATCGGGGCCGATGCCGTCAAAGCTCGGCCAAGGCTGAGCATAGCTTGATCAAATCTGCCCAGTGGCTTTTCGTTGAGCTCGAAAGTCCTCCCTTTCCCTCTATTACCTTCACCTACCCCAATGCAGGTATCTGGGAGCTTGTTGATCGAGGCCGATGCAGTCACAGGCTCTAGGGATTCCCACTCCAGCACCACACAGCTAGGCCAAGGCTGCGGTCGGTGCCGGTTACACAACGTGACGGTTACCAACAGGGGAGTGGACTGGGATAACGAGGCAAACGTTTACTGGCAGGACCGGGTGCAGAGGAAGGAGGCGTTGAGAGTGGTGCTGCGCGGTGATGCAGAGTTCGAGGCGAGGGATGTGGCGATTGTGGGCGATCATGTGTTTGACGTACCAGAGGGGCACCGAATGGTCGTGTTTGCATCGGAAACAGGTGAGCGATGCAGAGTGGTTCAATGCAATGGGGTGAGATGTGAGGGGAATTGAAGCGAGGGATGTGACGATTGTGGGCGATCATTTGTTTGACATTCCTGAGGGGCACCGCATGGTCGTGTTTGCATCGGAAACAGGTGAGCAGAAGGATGGCTTGATTTGTCAGGGCTCATTGTGCACGGGGATTTTGGGCTGTTTAGATTGCCTGACAGGGTATTTTCTGGGGGATTTTTGTGGTAGACTGTAGTCAAAAGTCATTCCTATACACCTCTTCCTTTTGTGTCCACATCAGGAGCCATGCAAACAAGGCTGGAGAAGCTTCCTGGCAGGAGGCCTACCTGGGAGTGGCAGTACTCTGTGGGTGACCATGGGTCCCTCCAGCTCACCCTGATTGAAACTTAGAAGTTAAAATGGAAATGGAGATGTAACTGTAGATGTTTGTATAGTCGTACCAGATGCTAATAAAGTGAAGCTTTGTGATTACAAAACAGTGGCTGTGAAAGTGTGTGACCGCAGATGCTTCTCTAACCAGTTAGCCAGTTATATTTACAAGCAGCTGCCACCTCTTGCATCTGTTGGAAACAATAAGTCCTAAGTGCGCTTCTGTCGTATCAAAACCCAAGGCACCAAGCGAAGCAGTCCCAATCGGAGCATCGAGTCAACCTCGGAGGTTAGGGTAACCGCCTGGAGGTTACGAGAAAGTCAAAGGTCGCTGACCTTTGACTCGACAATTACAGCGCGACAGTTAAGGACACACAACTGACTCGCTACAGAGCAGTTGCCCGAGTCGCACTGTATCGAACCGCAACAGCAATACAGTTATCTACATATCTATTCGTATTCCCTGTACTCTTATATAAATCCTTGTATTTGCTTGTTTAATTCAATCAACTTTGCTCTCACACACCAGTGCAAGGTCGGTTCAAATTCTTCACTAAACGCTTCCGCTATTACAACTACTTCACCTAAAGTTATCCCTTGCAAAGATCCTAAGGGGCTATCTCAGCCCAACAGCATCAAGATGCACAGAAATTATAATTTTTAAACACACATGTAGTGTTTTTTAAAATTGTGTATTGTGAAAGCGAAGCTGCTTGTACTGCACAATTGGCATCGTCGAAGCGCGCTAAACGCCCTTCTCCAACTACAAAAACCGTGGGTTGGAGCTCATTTCCCTCCACCCACATTTCTCAATTTTCAAACGGCTCACTCAACATTTTCCGCTCGAGTACTTTTTCCCTCCAAGCTGGCTAGGATTAAATCGCTTCCTAGAGGCGAGTCACCCTCTACTTTACTCAGCGACATTTTCAATTTCAATCGCTCAACGATGGCACCTACGCCGACACTTAACAACGGGAACTCGTCAACCCCCGCTTCCGACTCCGACCGTAACGCCCGCGATTCTGCGGGCGAACGCCGTAACAAGCGTCGGGCAGAAGACGGACCTTCCGCCCCGACTGCAGTGGACGTGCTGCTGGGCGGGCTCGAGGTCCACAAAAACGCCGAAACCCAGCAGCACCCTTCGGTCCCTGTGGCGCCAGTGGCGCCTGTGGCGCCAGTGGCGCCTGTGGCGCCAGTGGCACCTGTGGCGCAAGTGGCGACGGGGACTGGCGCGGCACACGCGACTGACGCCGAGCACACGCCAGCACCCGCTGCTGGACCGTCGCGTCAGCGTCAGAGGAGGCGGACTGCAGTCTCCTCGTCTGACGCGACCGCCGCCCCTGCGCTGACGCAGGCGTTGACCCCGGACCAGGTCAACGCGCTGCTGTCCCTTCTACAGCAGCAACCCGTCAGCGTTACAGCCGCGGAAACTGCACTACCCGCCGCATCTGCGTCGGCTAAAAAAGAAACTGCAAAAAAGGAGAAAGGCACACGGGGAGCACGGACGAACCGGCATGACAACGACGCAGCGACTGCCGCTCCCCCTGCTCCAGCGGTCGACAACGACACCGACGACTCTGAAGATGAAGCCGGTGAGGCTCCAGTCAACAATGTTAATTTTATTGGCACGGAAAACCTTCCCCCCCTCCCTTCTTCTAACCTTACCTTCTCGGCGGCAACCTTCGTCAACGACTCCGTGCGAGAGCAAGCGGAGCTACTGGAGGACCTGCGGGCGTACCTGCTGCACGCCGAATACAAGGCGCAGCGCGGTGATCCGGCGGGCGGACTCGAACTCATCTCACACGCTCTCAACCTCATCGCGGGGCGTTTCGAGGTGCTTCAAGTGGAGGACGCCTCCGACTTTCGCACGGCGAAGCGCTTTAAGCTGTACCAGCAGAAGAGCCTGCTGACTTCTCGACCCTTCAAGCAGGCGGTCGCAGACATGGCGGCGATGGACCGTGCGGCAAGCGGATACGCTCGTGTCAACCGCGGCGGAAACAACGGGCCGATGCCGTTCTTACCCAAGCGAGGCCCCCCGCCCACGGCCAATTGCCGTGGGTTCCGGGGCTCATGCTTCCGCTGCGGCCAGCCGGGCCACGTGGCAAGTGCCTGCCCTCGGAACGGGCATGGAGGCCAGGGACCCGCTCCGGTGGTGTAGGAGCGGGCCATGAGACTAGGCGCTTGGGCGCTAGGCACGGTGCACTCTTGAGTGCGAAAACCGTGGGCAACCCTAGGGGTTTGCGATGGCAAGAGGCCAGCCCTAGTAAAGGGTGGGATAGGCTTGGGCCTAGGATAGGGAAAGGGAACAACAACCCCTCGGTCCCATATGTTGGCCACTTGGTGGCATGCTAGGAAAGCATTGCTATGTGTGTTGGTTGATTTAATAAAAACTACCTTCCTAAAGGCCTATGGTTTTGGCAAAGAGAGAATGAGAGAAAGCACAATGGACAACGGTGTCCATGGCCCTAGGCATCAGCCCCTACGCACTAAGGGCAGGCACAACCATGTCCTACCAAGTGGACGACGGGGCAAGAAAAAAAAAAAAAAAAAAAAAAGGGGGAAACGAGGAGAAGAAGAGACATGCGTTGACATGCGTTAATATTCCCGACACATTCGTTGACATTTCATTCAATTGTTCATTCTCTTCACACCTTCGATCAATGGTTGCCCGTACAAGTACATGCACACGCATGCTTTAACGTGGAATACTCAAAGCTTATACCACTTGGCCTCAAATGTACAGGAGCACGACGGTGCGAGGCGGCATGCCACGACGATCCGTACGAATTTGCCGTTACAGACAGAACTATTACACACATGCGCGGTCGTCTTCGCGCGACATTTGCGTGGTGGAGCTCATGGTGCCCCAGCAGCCTTGTCCTCTCCGTCATCGCCAAGGGTTACTGGCTGCCATGGAGCCACGGCCCACCGCAACATTTCCACGATCGCAATCATGTCGGGGCAAACACGCATGCCACGTTCACACATACCGCCATCCAAGAACTCATAGAGACGGGAGCGGCAATTCCGATGGCCGCAACGGAGCTTACATGCATAAGTCCACTCAACGTGGTCGAGCAAAAAGACAAATGCAGGCTCATTCTTGATCTGAGGAAAGTCAACGCCAACTTGATCATCCCCAAGTTCAAGTACGAAGGGCTCAGCCGCGTCGCCGACCTTGCGCGCGTTGGGGACTGGATGTTCTCCATTGACCTCAAATCTGGTTACCACCACATCGACATCCACCCATCGTGCTGGAAGTTCCTTGGCTTTGAATTTGATAAGCGCACATACGCATTCCGTTCACTACCATTTGGCCTCGCGACAGCTCCATTCGTTTTCACGCAGCTCATCAAGCAACTAGCTCGGCGTTGGCGAGAACAAGGCATCCGAGTCGTACCTTACGTGGACGACATCTTATTTCTCTGCCAGTCGAAAGAGGACGCGCAAGCAACTTGCCAGCGGGTGATATTGGATCTTAAAGAGGCAGGCCTTGTGATAAACGCGAAGAAATCACAACTGTCACCATCGCAGCGTCTCCGATTCCTGGGCGTAGAACTCGAGACCGATACCGGCCGATTCTCCATCGGTCCGGACCGACGAGCCTCACTACATGCAACCATCCGGAACCTCCTGAGCGCAAGCAAGGCATGCCGACCAGTCCCGGTCCGCCACGTGGCCAGAATCACTGGCATGCTCGCATCGATGGGTGTCGCACTTGGCGCGACAGCTCGCGCATTCAGCCATGCTATGTTACAAGTGATCGACGACGCACCGTCATGGAAAAGCAGCGTCGTTATCCCCCCATCTGCAGCAGAAGAGCTCCAATTTTGGCTCGAGGAGTTCGACCGTTTCAACGGCGCACCTTTTCACGTCAAGAACAGCTACGACGCGGTAATCCACGTGGATGCCAGCTCTCATGGTTGGGGCGCCACTCTGACCACATTTCCGGGTGGCATCGAAGAAGCTAGCGCAACCATGTCAGAGCCGCTACGAGGAACGTCCAGCACGCGACGGGAGATCGAAGGCGTCCTTTGGGCGCTACAAACGTACGCGAACAAGATCAAGCAAAAACACGTTCTCGTGCGGGTGGACAACCAGGGCGTATTCTTCATCCTTCGCAAAGGCGGCTCTCACAGCCCCGACCTCACAACGGCATGCAAGAGCATCATCCGAACATGCATGGCGCTTGGCACGCGCTTGATCATTGAATGGATTCCGCGCGAGCTCAACACACACGCCGACGAGCTTTCAAAAATGGTCGACCACGACGATTACGCGCTGAAAACGCCGTGGTTCCGGATCTTGGAACGTCGTTGGGGTCCTCACTCCATCGACCTTTTCGCAAACTCCCGCAACACCCAACTGCCGCGCTTCTGTTCAAAGACTCCCCACCCGGCAGCCATTGCAGTTGATGCGTTCTCGATCGCGTGGACACCTGAAAACAACTTCGCCTTCCCCCCACCTCAACTGGTCCCAGCCGTCCTCCATCACGCACAACGCACCCATGCATCACTCACACTGATAGTTCCGCACTGGCCAGGCGCAAGCTGGTGGCCACTCTTGCAACCCTCCCCACGCACTTGGGCACCACACATCCACGCGCACATCCATCTGACACACGGAAGCCAATGCCTAGACGTAGGGTCCCATTCATCTGCTTTTTCGGGCATGGGACTACCGCACAGCCCAATCATTGCACTGCGAGTGGCATTTGACTAATTCAAAATATATACACCTTGTGTTCAGATTTGCTCCCAAAGTTACACGACCAACTGATCAACATGCTCGCGCAGTCCCGCGCCGATTCTACGATCCGGACATATGAACCATACTGGGCCAAGTTTCGAGCCTTCTGCACAAAAGTGAACCTTCCATTCCTCCCGGCATCCGACATGACCCTCGCGCTATACCTGGTACACGCAATCCGACGCAAAGCCACCCTGTCCGTAGTGCAGCTAACCTGCTCGGCGGTCAGCTTCGCCCATCGCATGACCGGGAGCAAATGCCCGACAACCGGA